TGAGACTCGAAGAGAAAATTCAAATTTAAAAGATACATATTACGCAGGTGCGTAGTAGGTACGATAGAATAGAGGGGGAGAAGGGGGAAAAGGGGGAGTAGGGAAAGAAAATAAAAGAGGACTGAAACGTGATTCAATTAACAAATGCAAAAATCAAAAAAAAAAAAAATCGGATTTCATAAAAGAAAATTTAGTTCGTGTCGCGAAATAATCTTTTTACAATCCTTATTACGGTCCTGATAAGGAAAAAAATGGCCGCGGATTTGATATGACGTAAAATAAATCAATTTGATGTTCATACGTGAAGACATAAAAGATTTTACACATAAATTTGTAAATTTTTTTTTTTTTTTCATGAATCATTTATTTAAAAAAAAAAATTCTTAGAAAAATAAAACGGAAATGGTTGGGGAGAAGAGGGAGGGGAGGGAAGGAAAAAAAGGAAAATTTAATGAGAAATCGTCTTACTTTAAAAAAAAAATAATAATAATAATCGCAATTTTAAAAAACTTTTTAAAGAATTATTTTTTGTTTTTTCCCTAAAAAAAAAAAAAAAAAAAAAAAAAAAAGAAAAAAAGGAAAAAAAATTCGTTCTTTACCCTTACGTCCCCGACACCACCACCACCACCATCACCATCATCACCAGCACCGTTGCTACCCTTCCGAAAAAGAAAAAAAAAAAAGTGACAAATAAGGGATGAGTTTTGATCTTTTATACTTTTCACCTTCTTCTGCCACCCTTAAAACTTTTCTCATAAACTATTTTCTTTCTTTTTTAAAAAACTCTTCTCCTTTTTTATTTTTTATTTTGTCTTCTGCTTTTAAAAAATATTTTCTTCTGCTTTAAAAAAAAAAATTATACTGTTCAGATTTATATATTGTTCAGATTTTTTTTTATTTTTCAATGACGAATTTTTATTTATTTATTTATAAAAAAAAAAAAAATTAAAATAAATTTCACTACAACGTTGAAAAGGACCCCCCAAGAAAATAAATTATGCGAAAAGTTAATTTTCAACATAATTTTCGCATCCTTTATCCCTTCCTTTTTCCTCTCCCCTCCTCTCCTTCCCACCCCTCCCTCAACCTCATTCGATTCCCCCGTATTTGCAAACCGACAATTTTTTTCTTTTTTTTTTAAATTTTTTTAATGGATTTTTACTTTTTTTTTAAATTTAAAAAAATTATACGAGTGGAAGTTGAGTGGCGGTGGTGGTGGTGGGGGTGAGGGCGAGGATGGGTAAAACACTAAAGGGTGTAATTAAGGGGAGGGGGATGGAGGAAAAGGTGAAGAGGTAGACATGGGAAAAAAACTTTCCGTTGTAAAAAAAAAAAATTAAATTAAAAATCGCGAAATAATTAATAACTTGATTAAAAAAAAAAAAATTTTTTTTTGTTTTGCTTTTTTTTTTTTTTAACAACCATTAGTCTGGATTCATTTGAACGTGGAAGTAGATTAAAAAATAAATTTTTTTTTTTTTTTTTTTGAACAACAAAATATAAAAAAATGGAAAAAGTTTTTTTAAAAAATTTATTTCAAAAAAATAATCGATAAAGTCAGACATTTAAATAATGAAGGAGAGAGAGAGAGAGAGAGAGAGAGAGAGAGAGAGAGAGAAAGAAAGAAAATTAAATATGAAATTATAATACGGTTATAAGAAAAGCAGACGGCGTCAATCAAGATGGCCAACTTTTAAGATAAAAAAAAATTTTTTTTTTTTTTTAACGAACGACCGACACTCTCGTTATCCATTCCGTGATTGATTTTTTTTTTTTTTTTGATTTAAGACACGAAAAGATTTAACGAAAAAAAAAAAAAAAATTTTATAAAGGGAAAATCGGGATAGAATTTTCTAGAATTCTTGAGTGAAAATTTGTAAAAGGAAAAAAAGGAAAAAAAAGGTTCGAAAACCTTTTCATTAATCTGTCGGAAAAGTGAAAAAAACTTCAACAAAACAAAATACGGAGGTTCAATTTTGAGGTTCCTCACAATAATAATAAAAATTTTTCTTCTTTTGTTTGAATTTCTCTTTTAATTTTTTTTTTTTAATTTAATTTTCACCCCCCACGCACTCTCTCACCATCACCCCTTTCCTCTACTCGCGCGCCCGCGCACATTTACACTTTTTATAACAAAAAAAACATTTTATTTGTTTTTTTATTCGTCGGACACTTTATATCGAATTTTTTTTTTCACCAAATCCGCCATTTTTTTTTTTTTGGAATATCCAGTTTCGTTTCTCTTTCCCCCCCCCCATCTCGCCCTTCCCCCCCAACTTTTTCATTTTTCCTAAAACATTCATTTAATATATTTTAATGACTTTTTCTTTCTCCAGATATAAATAAATATATATATAAAATTTTTTCGCGCTTTAATTACAAAACTTTTTTTAAAAAATTTTTCTAACGCCACAATTTTATAAAAAAACGTTCCAGACAAATTTTCAACACGGTTTTTATTATTATTATTTTCATTTTTCCAGCGATTTTAAAATTCAAAAAAAAAAAATTTATTATTTTTTTACATCGTCGGAAAATATTCCAGAAACAACTTTTTTTTTCTTCCTACATGTAAAGTTTTTTTTTTTTTATTCAAAAAAAGATTTTCATTTTTGTTGTTGTTGTTTGTTGTTGTTTTTTTTTTTAAATATAAATTTTACTGGGCTTTGACTGGAAAACGATTCATCGATTCATCGTGAACGGAATTTTGTTCATTTGATGGATTTATAGACGCGTTTAAATTTATTTTTCAGAAAGATTTTTGAAATCCGGGGGGGGGGGGTAAAAGAGGGGAGAGGGGAGGGGAAACACACGCGAAAAAAAATAAAATTTCAATACCGTACGTGATTGATAACCTTTGACCTAAAATTAACAATCGCATTAATAATGTTTTATATAAATTTTTTTTTTTTTTCGTACCATTAAAATTAAATTAAAAATGATTTTTACGGTTGACCTGACTTTATTGTTTTGTTCCTTTTCCCTCCCCTCTCACTTCCCTCTCCCCTCTCCTATTTCCGGTTTACATGATTTTCTATTTAGAAAAAAAAAACAAAAACAAAATGGCGTCTTGACGAAAACAAAAAAAATGTTTTTTTTCTTTTTTTCGAGGGGGGTTTAATTGAAAATTTTAAACAAAAATTTTTTTTACGCCCGTATTTTTTCGACTTTTTTTTTCTTTTCTTTTTCTCCCACGTTTATCTAACCCCCCCGCCTCCTACGCCTCCCCATCACAAAAAAAAAAAAATTAATTTTAATGGGGGAACAAAAAGAAAATGAACGACGAACGTGATACTTGAATTTTTTTTTTTTTTTATATCTTCTCTCAAAAAAAATTTAATCCCTCAAACCTTTTTCCCTTTTTTTGTTCTTCTTCAAATTTATAATTTTCCCACGTGGGAAACTGTTTGAATATATACTTGAAATGCTGCTGCTGCTTCCACTACTGCTGGTGCCACGATTATAAACTCGTGCACCATATGTATGGAACGAAAAAATAATAATAATAATAATACTAAAAAAAGAATAATTTTTTTTTCAATTTCTATTTTTTATATATATATATATATCTTCTTAATATTATTATTATTATTATTTAATTGATTTTCTTGTACTTTGACGATGATGATGATAATAATAATAATAATAATAATAATAATAATAATAATAATCAAATAGTAAAAGAAATTGAATTATTTGAAAGAAAAAAAAAAAAAATCTCTCCGGAAAAGAAAAAAAAAAAAAAAAGAAAAATCCTTGAATAAGGAAATTCAAATATTTTGAGTAGCTTACATTGAAAGGATTCAATTAAATAAAATTGGATTTTGATGTTGAGTTTTTTTTTTTTATCATCATCATCATCTTCTTATTTTTTTTTATAAAATACACAAATTATTATTATTATTATTATTTTTTATCACGTGATTTAAAAAATATTTTCGTGCCACGAATGATTTAAAAAAATAAAATAAAAAAATTTTTTTTTGTTTATGTTTTTACAAACGTAAAAAAAACTTCACAGAGTGTTAACAATATTATTATTATCATTATTATTATTAATAATAATATACGAGGGAGAATGTGGATTTGAGAGGAAGAGGAGGGGAAGGGAAGGGAGGAGGAAAGAAGCGTAAAATTATAAATGAAAAAATTTAAAATTAAATTTGTTTACAGCGCGAATGAGAAAAAAAAACATTTAAATTTTTAATAATTAAATAATAATAATAATATTAACATACGTAAAAAAAACGAATAATTTTATTATAAAAAGAGAGAGAGAAAGAGCAAGAGAGAGCCAGAGAGAGAGAGAGAGAGAAAACAAGAGAGAGAGCAAGAAAGAGAGAAAGAAAAAAAAATATTTTTTTTATTTTTTATTTTTGATGTTGTAACCTTGTCACGTTTTTTTTTTTTTTCCTCCTGTAGCAGTTGTATACATTTACATGTGTGTGTGTGTGGGTGGGGGGTGTGTGCGCGTGTGCGCGTAATATGGTAAAAATTTGATTACATTACATATTTTTTTTTTTAAATTTTCACAAAAATGTTTAAAACGAAAAATTTCACGATTACGTATTAAATTTCGTTATTAAATCTATTGGGGGATGAGGAGGGAAGGGAAGAGGGAGAGAGAGAGGGAAAAGAAGGAAGGAAAAACCTGGAAAATTTTTTTCGCGTTTAAATTTCGTAAACGACGGTAAACAAACGTTTAACGAGAAAAATCATCTAGGAAAACCTGAGGCCACTTAAAATTTTGTCTAAATGTGTTTAAGAGGTAACCGCAAACAACAACCACGAGTTAGGAAAGCTCAACCAGACCAAGAAACCGTTAAGCGGAAGTTAACATAGAAAAGGGAAATTGGCGGCTAGACTTTATTTTCATAACAAAATCTCGTTAAAACAACATTTTCAAATTTTTTTAAACAAAAAAACGCTTTCCCCCTTTTTTCCCCTACCCTTCCCTCCCCCAATCTTCACCTTCCCTTTCTTAACATCCGTGATGAAACATGCAGAGAAAAAGAAAATTCAATTATTATTATTATTATTCATTTATTTTTATTACAGGTCATGGAAATGTTTTGCCTATACATTTGATAAGACATCATCAACAAACGAGCACAAAACAAAAAAAATCGTCAGGTGATATTAAAATAAACGAAATCGGAAATGGAACGGAGGAAATGGATCAAATAATTCCAATAACGGAAAATCCCGAATTTTCCGATTTGATTGTTAAACCTCACGAAGAAATAACATTGCATTGTTATATTTCTCAGGGTGTTTTCCCGCCGCGTTTGCCCATCGGTAAATAAATTTAAATTTAAATTTTTTTACGTAAAACAAACAAAACAAAATCGTCAGCATTTCTTTTTAACTTTAACATTTTTTTTCAAAAACAAACAAAACGACATTTTTTTTTCTTCTTTTCTTTTTTTTTTATGAAAACAAACATTGGGGTCGATGATGTGGTTGGTTGGTCGGTCGTGATTATGGCGGTTGTTCGGGTTGGCTAAAGTAAAATCGAAGACGGTAATAAAAGTAAAAACTTTATATAAAGAAAATAATAAAAAAGAAAAAAAAAAACCTCGAAAAGCTGTTACTAAATGGCAAAACTCTCACGGCGACCATGTTTTTTTTTATTTTAAATTACACCATAATATAACAATAAATAACTCGATTAAAATCGAAAACGGGTTTTTCAAAAAAAAAGAAAAACTCTCGTTTCCGCCGATGACGTCATCGCCATTGCCACCACAAAATCCCGCCATTAAATTTTTTTCCTTTTTTTCCGTCCGTAAATCTACGCGCGATCATATAATTTTTCACATTTACTCAATGGAAAAAAAAAAAGGTTTTGTCAAAGGTTCGTTAAACAAAATAAAATCCATTTCTACAAAATTTAAAAAAAGGAAAAAAAGGAAAAAATGGAAATTATTAATAATAACGTAAGGAAAAGGAAAAACGTATAGGAATCATTAGTCAAAATGATTGACGTATACTTTCGACTTTTTATTTGACTTGACAATAATATTATAAATACATGTAAAAACCTAACAATTAATAATAAATGTAAATAATATTATTTTACATTGCGAATCGAATGCACGGGAAAAATGGCGGGGAAAATTTTTTTTTTTTTTGTTTATATCATTAAATTAAAATAAATTTTATTTGTTAATAATAAAATAAAATAAAAAAAGAGACAATTTAGTAGTAGGAAAGAAAATTTATTATTGTATTTAATTTTAAGCGTAAATACGGTCGTAAAAATGACCTTAAAAAGAAGGAAAACTCGAATCGTAAAACCGCAGAAAAACCATTTTTATAGTTAAAACCATAAAAAAAAAAAAATTTTTTTTTTTTTACGAGGGCAAAGCTATAGAAAAAAAAAAAAGCTGACGATTTGTCTTTAAGCTTAGAAATGACGTCGCTGGAATAATTTATAATAATGATAATATTTACGCAGGATTATTTTGGATTCACGATGGACAATCCGTTGATTCGGTCGATGTCGGAGTTGCGGGTACGGGTCACAGGTATCGAAAGGATCCGGTCAAAGGTCATTTACACATTTCAAACGTTAGATTGGAAGATAACGGATATTGGCAATGTCAATACCGCGATGTTAGCCATCATTCTTTATTATCGTCAAAACCTCTTCGTTTGATCGTTTTAGGTGAGTTTAAAAAAGAAAAATTTTTTTTTGGTGAGGAGGAGGGGGGTGTTGAAAGCTTTTACCCTTTAATTTATCGAAATCGATTATAATTTGACAGAAAAAAAAAAAAAACTCAAAGAAAAAAATAAGAAAAAAAACGGGAAAAATTATTTAACGTCTAAATTTTCTTTTTTTTTTATATATCTCGACAATCAAAATTGCATTTTTTTCTTTTTATTTTTTCCTTTTTTTTAATTTTTTACTAATGACACGATAAATATATATTTCCTTTGTCGTTTTTATTTTTTTTCATACCATTACGGCTCCCATTTGAAAATATTTTTTACTAACTCAAACTATATTTTTTTCCCCGTTTTTTCTCTCTTTCCCTTTTTTTTTTTCATTTTCTTAAACAGTCCATTTAAACAAACAACAAACAAACAAACAAACAAAATTTTCCAATCTTTTAAAACGATTCGCAAAAAAAAAAAAACAAAACAAAAACAAAAAATATTATTTTTTTTATTTTAACTTTATTTAAAAATGAGATGATTTTTTATCGAAGTTTCGCCATTTTTTCCCTCCCTCCCGCCCCCTACTTCTTCTTCCTATTATTTTACGTTCACCTGCCTCCCCCTCCTTTCTTCACGAGTTTTTTTTTTTTCTTCATCCAGTTTTAAATTTTTATAAAAGCGTAAAGCGAATATTAATAATAATGGAAAAGAAAAAATGGAAAAAAGAGAAAGAAAAAAAGAGGGAAAAAAAAGTTTTGATTTAAATAATGAGGCCATTTAAGACGAAAGGAAAAGGTGAAGAAGAAGGAGGAGGAGGAGGAGGAGGAGAGGGAAAAAAAATGGAGGATTCGATAACTCGTTTGTTAAATTCATTTGATCGAATGTCAAAAAAAAAAAAATTTTTTTTTTATTTCGTGTAAATAATAAATAAAATTTGAAAACTGTCATTTATTTAAACATAACTAAAACGTCAAACGCAATGATATTAAAAAAAAAAAACGTGGAATTCAATAGAACAATAAATAATAATAATAATAATAATAATAATAATAATAATAATAATAATAATAATAATAATAGAAGTATGAAAAACAAACAAACAAACAAACAATTTAAAAAAAAAATAACCACCCTGAGAAACGGGTGTTGTTTTTTTTTTTTTTTTTTTTTTTTTTTACTTTACAATATTAAAAATAATTTTTTGTTTGTTTGTTTGTTTGTTTAAAAAATTAATTGTTTTTATTATTATACCTTATAAAGAAATAAATTACGACGATATATATATATGTACGCAAACAACAACCGACAATACAAACGAAAAAAAAAAAAAGAAAACAAAACAAACGAACGAACGAATGGAAAAAAATAAAAAAAGTTTAATAAAAATGCCAAATAATTTTTACCCCTCCCCTTCACCCGCTCCCCCTCTTCAGTACCCCCCCCACCAAACGTTGAGAAAACAAATAAAAGGTTTTTTTTTTTTTCTCCAGCCGACCGAGGTTTAAAACATTTTTAACGGTTTTTTTCCTTTTCTCAAGGTTTATTGTCGCCATGGGAAATGATAAACCGCGGATTTAACGAACGTTTTCCCTCCTGTTTGATTTTTTCACTCACTCACTCACTCTCTCTCTTTCTCTCTCTTTTCACTTTGACTGTTCCCCCCCCCCCGGCTTTTTCCATAACCTCACCACCTTCTTTCTCTCTTTTTATCCGAATTTATCGATTTCGTTCAATTACGCATATAAATTTTCATTCTGAAATTTCCGTTATTTATCCCATTTTTTTTTTACTTGTAAATTTTTTTTTTTCATCTTCTTCTTCCACGTTTTTTAAAGAAAGAATTTTTTTTTTGTATGATTTATTAATATTATTTAAGTACGTAATTTATTATTCAAAATGTTTAATGTTCTGTTTATAGGATAATTAAAGTAAAAAGTTTTTCTAAAGGTTACTTCGTAGACCAACAACAACAACAACAACAATACTTTATTTTCATAACATTAATTTAATTTTAATTAAGTTTTTGTTTTCAATTTTTCCACCCACTTCCGCCCTCCCGTATCCCCGCCAAAAAGGAAAAAAACGTGCATGATAAACTCACGAAATCATCTTTTAAAATTTCTTTTGTTTCTTTCTTTCTTGTTTTTGTCACTCATTTCTTTACTCCCATAAGAAAATATATCGTGTCACGTGACTTAAACGTTATCAAATCGTGTGATAAGAAATGATAAGCAAATAAAATAAAATTTTTAAAAAATGAAGAATTTTAATGACGGAAATGATAAATTATTAGAAAATTTTTTTAAGGGAATTTTTTTTCCTGAGTTTTTCTCACCTCCTTCTTTTCTTTACTTTTCCCTCCTCCCCTTCCACGCCTTCGAGATTTCAAACCAACCCCCCCACCCTCCCCCAAATTTCAAACTTGAAAAGTTTTTGGCAAAAAAAAAAAATGCTTTTTTCATTCTTAAAACCGTGAGAGAGTGAGAGAAAAAGGTAAATGGCGTGGCAGGTTTGAAATTTTATTTTTTTTTTTTTTTTGGCCAATTCCTGTCATTCAATTTTTTTTTTTCTTCTTTTCGTTTGAATGTGCGTGTGTGCGTGCGCGTGTGCGTGTGAGAGCTCAAAATACAATTTTTTTATCTAAAAAAGAATTTCATATCAAAACGTCGTGTTTTATTATTATTATTATTGTTGTCGTCGTCGTCATCGTCGTCGTAGTAGTTGATGATGAGTTTTTTGAAAAAATAATATTTTAATCTTTAGCTTCACGTTTCATTACCTTTTTTTCCTTTTTTTTTTCCTTTTTTTTCCTTCCTTTTTTTGCATATTTCTCGAAATCTATTTTTTCTTTTATAAAAATCGATCCATCATTTTTTTTTTTATACATAATCTATAGATAAAATTTATTCATATTTATTTATTTATTTATTTACATTTTTTCATTCTTCCCACTCATTTTATTTATTTATTTATTTTTTCAACATTTTAAAAAAAAAAAAAAAAGTAATAAATAAAAAAATTCTTTTTTCTTTATATTGATAATATTGTTTTTATTGTATTTTATAGTGGTACTACAACAACAAAAACCCACAACTAACAACCAACAACCCACAACAACAACAAACAACAAACAATCGAA